CGAAGTGGCCGAGGCAGCGCAGGAGGAGACGTCGATCACCATCATCGCCCTCTCTCATTCAAAAATTAATAACTGAATAAATTAAGGAAAAAACAAAAAAAAAAAGCTTAGAAAAACCTCAGAAGTTTTTAAGAGAGGAACATTTTCGGGCGATTTCGGGATTTTGAGAGCGGAAAATTTTCTGTGGAAATTGCCTAGCTGGCACCTCCTCTTAATTTCCCTCACTTTCTTTTTTGCAAATCAAACACTTGATTGTGAAGGAAAATACAAAAATCATTGTCAGTTTTTTAGAGCTTATTTTCTGTTGTTTTTAAACGAAACAAACAGCCCCTAAATCCCAAGGAACATTTTCATCTGTTTGTTTCGTTTAAAACCAGCAGAAAATAAGCTCTAGAAAACTGACAATGTTCCTTGGGATTTAGCGCTCTAGAAAATGTTCCTTGGGATTAATGGTGTTAGTAATTTACAAAAACAAGTTACCACGGTTGCTTGAGATTGAGACCCTTGGGATGAAAGCATTAGCTCAAATATGCTTGAGATTGAGACCATTGGGATGAAAAGCTTTGCTCACATAATGCAATCTCTACAAAACAAAATTAACATTGAGTTGAAGATAGCTACTCATGCTACAACGCTTATATATATGCAACTTATACTGTTGGTTGCTCTTTTTTTTTACCGTTGCCCATACATAACCGTTGGGTCCATTAATTCAAAATTATGTTGGTATTATAAAAACTTTGTTGTCTTTTGTGAGTGGTAAGCTCACCTTGGTGACCTTAAACAACATTTCTCATTATTTTTTATTGCCTACCAAACATAGGAAGTAGAAGAAATGAAGAATGCTTATCAGATTTCTTGATTTTTAGATGTTGAAACAAACCAAAAAAATGAGAAACAATGCTTTTACAGCCTATGATTTCAAGGCGAAACAAACCAAAAAAATCAAATATGAAAAACTCTCTAAAATGTACTTAAATGGTTTTTATCATGGTTTTGTGTTTCCTTTTTTTTTTGAAGGAAATGAACCAAACAGGCCCTACATGACATCCTCTCTCTTGTATGTTTGATTAGAATTTAAAGATTTGGGTTGTAGTAACTTTGGGGATGAGTTAGGGTTTAATCTTAATTAGGGTTTAATTATGCAATGATGAATTTTAATTTGATTAGATTCTAATTATGCATTGATGAATTTTAATTTAGTGAGGGGCATAGTTGCCCCATAAATGCAACAGGTATATATAACAGAATATTCCCCTATAGATTTAACATCCACTAACTTGAAAGGACTAAAATCAACAACTTAAAGCAATTTGAGGGACTAATATCAAAATACTTAGATTTGAGGGACTAATACAAAATAGCTCAGATGTAAGGGACTAATACTAAAAAAACCAAAAGAATATTTACAAAACTAGTAAGAAAATATGGGACGATCCCGTGAGCATATCTGACCTTGCATAAAAAACTCAGATTAAAATTCATAAAAATGAGGGAAAACATTAGGCGTAAACTGCTTCAGAATTTTAGCCTACTAGAGGGGAATAACTCTGAACTTGTCACGGATATGTTAATCGGGTGTTGCTACAATGACCCAAATATGGGACCCAAGGCATGCGACAGATGAGGTGTCACCATCAGGTTGTATGATGCACTATTTATGAATGGTGCATCATGCAACCGGATGGTGACACCTCACCTGTCCCATACCTTGGGTCCCTTATTTGAGTCCTTTTAGCAACACCCTATGTTAATAGTTTCACCTGACATTTCCTTGTAGCAACACCCTTCATTGATTAGACGACTATAAATACACTAATGTGGGATTTAGAAAGTCCACAAATACATAGTGAGCAGTAGTTGAGAAGACGAGAACTCCAACACCAGATTCCCAAGGTCCACATCAAGAAATTTCAAAATCTGTTGCAATCTTAGATCCTTGTATCAATGACAGGGTCACACCTCGGTCCATCAATCAGGTAACACGTCTGCTTTCAGTATTTATGACGGCTTTCGGGATTGCATATATGCAAACCTTTTTTGCTGCCCCTCACTTGCCGAGCAATAACCTGAAGAACCCACTTCATTGGCATCGGCATCGGCATCTGCATCTCTACATGTTTAATTGAACGAGGGCCTCTTCTTTGCCTCGCCATATGTTGTCAATAGTATAGAGAACAATGCACTTTCTGTTCATCCACTGTCAGATGATCAACCGATAAATGGTTGAAGTTCACAATCATAGCCATCATAACGACGCATCTTCATCTCAAACCTGAGAAGTTCTAGCACATCATATATGTCCTCCGATCGCATATGCCTCCTATCTCCAGACACAAACTCATGGCAATTGCCGTCGATCTCCACACCACTGAATCCAGGACTCTTCTTTATCCCGAGCGACTTCATCATGTTCCTCACTCTCACAGCTCCATCCCATCTCCCGACATCCGCATATATATTAGATAACAGCACGAAATTCGAATCTGTGTCAGGCTCCAGCTCCACCAACCAGCCCATCAACTTCTCAGCCAAACCGACGTTTTTATGCATCCTGCAAGCCGCAAGTAGAGAGCCCAACACAACCTCATTCGGACCCATCACCGGCATCATTCTCTCCACCAAGTCCATTGCCTCCTCTAGCCGCCCAGCTCGGCCTAACAAATCAACCACACACCCATAATGCTCAATTCTCATCGGGATCTTACTATATTTCCTTTGCATAAGTTTATAGTAGTTAAGTCCCTCATCGACCAAACCAGCATGACTGCAAGCAGTCAGAGCTCCGGTGAAGGTAACGCCGTCAGGCTGGACACCCATCTTCTGCATTTCACTAAAACAATCAAGCACGACAGCAGCCGTTGATGGCGAATCCGACAATCATTGAATTCCAAGTGACCCTTGTCCTTCTAGAGGTATCCACGCCATCAAACACCTGGCAAGCGAGGTCAATGCGCCCACACCTAGAATACATGTCAATGAAAGAATTAGCTACCCGAATGTTACCACAGAGATCGCCGCCGCGGCTCATCGCGTATCGGTGCACCCACATGCCCTGAGCAAGCGCGCCAAGACACAATCATTGAATTCCAAGTGACCCTTGTCCTTCTAGAGGTATCCACGCCATCAAACACCTGGCAAGCGAGGTCAATGCGCCCACACCTAGAATACATGTCAATGAAAGAATTAGCTACCCGAATGTTACCACAGAGATCGCCGCCGCGGCTCATCGCGTATCGGTGCACCCACATGCCCTGAGCAAGCGCGCCAAGATAGAGATAATCATGACATAATCAGGCACAATCTGGGCCGTCAGCTGCATTTCTTGAAAGTGGTGCAGGGCTTCTTCGAGGAGTCCGTTTTTGACGAAGCCGTCAATGAGGGCGGTCCATGAGACCTTGTCACGTTCGGCGACTGTGCGGAAGAGGGAGACCGCCTGATGCGAGCTCGGGCTGGCCGCATGTGGCCGGCGATCATTGGCGTTGAAAGAGAAGGAGTTTTCTCACGGGTCGCGGTCGAACACTCGGCGGGCAAGCTGTTGGGGCGTGGCCTTGGCTAGAGGTCGAGAAGAGGGCGGTGTGGTTGAGGAGGGAGCGACGACGTGGTCGGGAGATGAGAGGGGTATAGCGTTGTGAGGAGGTTGGGCGTGGGAGGAGAGGCCGAGGGGAAGGCGAGGGGGGAGGAGAGGAGGAGGAGAAGTCAGCCAGGAGGAGAAGGAGAGTGAGGAGGTGATTGGTTGGGTTGGCGAGGATGGGGAGGGGAGCATGAGGCGACAAGGTGGAGGCGGGCCTCTGGAGAGGAGGCCGCGGCTGGGCGGCAGGCCGCGATGAGAGGAGGTTAAGGAACGACGTTGGTGGTGCGGGAGAAGAGGAGTTGAGGGGGTTTGCGATTGTTGGGTTTCTGGCGAGGAGAGGAAGGGAATGGTGGGATATGGAGTGGAGGATGAGAGTTCGAAGAAGCATTAGAGCAGCTGTCCGGTGCCGTTGGCTGGATGTAGGACGATTAACATGAAGATTTATTGGATGATCGCGACATTCACAGATACAATAAGATTTATACTTCGCAAAGGAAACACAATATATTTTTCAATCCGGAAGGCGGATTCTGACATACTTATATATGCTAAAATCGCCTATCCGACGAAGACGGAGCCAACCAGATTGTCAGATTTTTTCAATCTCATCCAGTTAATACCCAGATTTGGCTAAAATCGAAGATAATCAGCTTTTAGTTTATTTTTCAGCTAATAAAGTTGGAGTCTTTTAGATTATGGAAATAAAATCAATTTTAGGAGTCTGTTTTGTTTAGGCAAATAATTCGATTTGATCTTAGATTTGACCGCGAGAGACTTTCCTAATCATAAAGGAGTCTTTTTTAGGAGTTTTTTAGTTTTTGGAATTCTTTTACTATTTTTGGTAAAGTTGAGTCCTTACTGTAGGGACATTAGGGTCCTTGTATGGAGTCTTTGTTTCTTTTTCTATTTAGAGAGTCTTGTAAGCCCTAGTAGGCATAACTATTTATCAATAAAATTTCTCATTTTCAATTATCTTGCGTCGGATCGAAGTTCTTGCGCTGGATTCGAAAGGATCGTTCTTTTGGATTCAGAGAACACCCTTGGTGGATCCCTCGACGGTTATCACTTCGCGCTGCCCGTCAATTTGGTATTCAGAGTCTTGTTCCGTTCCGATTCGATGGCACGGTGATTGAAGCCCCTATTTCTCGAACTGAGTCCGACGTGCTGAAGACGGTGTTAATCAGATGAAGACTGCCGTTAGAGCCGCTTGCGTCAGGCAGTGCGGAGCGTCTGAATACGGGTAGGAGTTTCAACATGCTGTGATGGTCGCCAACGACGTGATCCAACTCCATATGATAAAGTCAACAGGGACAATGATCTTAGCAGGACATTAGAGTCTGAGAAGAGTAGTAATAGAAGCCATAAAGAAAAAGAACCATCTTCCGGCAGCAAACAAATTTATCCTTTCGCACGCAGATGCACCTCGTTCGATGCAGAAGATTTGTAATGTTATATTGCGATCATCACGAGCCAGCAAGAATCTTGTCTCTCGGCGTTTACATAGGTGCGAGAAGTTAGGACTGAGATAGAGAGAACACCCACCTCCTCTACCATTGATCGACTGGATTAGTATGGACAATGTTGTGCAGAACGGGATGGAGAAGTGTCGGATAGCGTTTTTCCACTTGGTCGAACTTATTTTGATGATGTGTTCGTGCGATGTGCGTCGAGATGGATACCTTGTCATATGTTTTAGGTTAGGCCATGCAATTCAATAATTGGAGCTACCCATAGGAGCCAGAGACAATGTTACTATCTTTCAAGAAAAGATGAACATCGAATTTGTGCTTAAGTCTCTTACAGAAAAGAGCCATTTAGATTAAAAACTACTGAGATGAAGCAAACCTTTGGTGACAAACAACGAAGCTTTACAGAAAACTTGATAGACAATCTTGAAGAGGTCTATCATGTTGTTTTAAAAGAAGCACTGCGTCTACTGAAATTCTCCTATGCAGCAAAACACTTGATATGGCCATGAGATTCATGATGGCTGATATGATAGTGAGGATGGGATGATACACATGAGTATTATTAAAGTTGAGTTAAAAGTGATATTGTATAATTCGATGGTTGTTTCCGATAGAGGGAATGATAAATAGAAAAACAATAGCGGGCAAAGGAGTATTGGAGAGCCAGCTTACTTTAGAAGCCAGCTCATCCCAAGTCTACCATTTCAATTTACAGCACTGAGAATATGAGTACGGGGGGTCACATTCAATTGGGATTTGCCAACACAAGGGATCTCTGGAGCAAAATTTCAAAAACAATCGCCAAGACAAGTTCTTTCTCAAGAGCCTTGACGTTGATGATTTTCCTGGAAAAGGCCTTATCTATTTTGATTGCAATTCTGGGTTTATAGCATTGACGAGTACTCATTAATATGACAGGATTTCTCTTCGCCCAATGACTACATTATCTTCCAGAACATACACCAGAACCCTTTGAAAACCATTCAGACAAGAGAGAGGCAAAACACACAAATGGAGAATAATCAATTACTAAGTATAAGCGGATGCTGATAATCCGGATGTGAGTTAAGAAAGCTATTTATCGATGAAGTTACTATTTCAAGCAAATAAACTCTGAGGACGAGATTCTTCAACAAGGGTGAGACTGCATGATAGGACGCTTAACAAAGATTTATTGGATATTTCGGACATTCACGCAGATAAATACAGATTTATACCTTCCGCAAGAGAAACAATCATATCTTACAATTCCGAAGGCGGATTTCTTGACATATTATATATGGTACAATCGCCTATCTCGACGAGACGCGACGCCAACCAGGATTGCAGATTTTTTCAATTATCACGTTATACCCAGATTGATTAAAATCCAAAGAATAATCAGCCTTTAGTTTATTTTTAGTAATAAAGTTGGAGTCTTTTAGATTAGGAAATAAATTCAATTTTAGGAGTCTGTTTTGTTTAGGAAACAAATCCGATTTGATCTCAGATTTGACCGGAGGACTTTCCTAATCATAAGGAGTCTTTTTAGGAGTTTTAGTATTTTTGGAATTCTTTTACTATTTTTGGTAAAGTTTGAGTCCTTGTAGGAATTAGAGTCCTTGTAGGAGTCTTGTTTCTTTTTCTATTTAAGAAGAGTCTTGTAAGCCATAGAGGCATAACTTTTTATCAATAAAATTTCTCTTTTCAATATTTCTTCGTGGATTCGAAGTTCTTCGTGGATTCGAAGATCGTTCTTTGTGGATTCAGAGAACACCCTTGGTGGATTCCGAGGTTATAACTTCCACGCTGCGTCAGTTGGACTTGCCGAAATGGGGAAGCAGGAAATGGGCAGATACCGGGGTGCTTCGGGGCTGATCGGTTCAAATGTGTGTTTGGATTTCAATGGGTTAAGGGAAGTTAAGGAAACTAGGTGAGAGAATGGAAGGGAAGGGAAAAGAGTTCCCTTCCCCTTGCTTACACCTCAATTTGGGGTAACAAATTTTATACTATCGGGGGTGAACCAAGGGGAACTAGGGTGAATAACTTCACCTCCTAAATGTTCCCAAACAAGATGAATGGTTCCACTAACTTCCATCCACCCTTATTCCCCTCAATCCAAACAAGCCCTAAGGGAGTGTTTGGTAAGTGAAGTGTTTTTTTGTTTCCGTGTCTTTTTTTAAAAAAATCAATCAAATGCGTTTAGGAAGTGGAGCGTTTTTTTAAGCTGACCGTATACAAAAATAAAAAGTCCAACGGAAATCTCAAAACACCATATTGGTGTTTTGAGATTTCCGTGGTTTTTTCTCCCCAAACCCATCTCCGCCCCGACACCATCGCAGCCACTCCTCGTCGCCGCCCCGACCCGTCGCCCAACCTCCTACCCGACGATCGTCACCGCAGACCTATCTCCCAGCCTCCGACGGGAGAGAAGCAGGGACTCCGAGCTCGAGGCGAAGTTCCCCCGTTCTCGACGCCAGTCGCCGACGACTCCAACCTCTCCTCCCCCCTCCTCAAGATCCTCCCTTACTCCATCTCTTCACTCTCCTCTCCCTCCCAATCCGTCCGCAAAACTAGTAAAATCCCCCAAATTCTAGGGTTTCTCCAAAACCCTAACCCTAACCCCTTCCTACTTTCCGTTCCTAGGTTCTCGAGATTTTGAGTCATGTGAACAAGCGAGTCAAGCACCGGCCGGATATCGGGCTGCCGTTCTCGGAGATATGGAGGGTTTACAGTGAGCTGTTGGTGGGTCTTGGGAAGCTGACTCAATAACATCAAGATATCATTTTGAGGATTGTTGCAAAGGTATGAGTGGTTAATTTTAGCTGCTTCATGAAAATCGCTAGTAGTTTGGTCAATGTAGAAGATATTATTTTGGTTACAATTAATTCAACTTATGTTGCATATTCAAGATATTATTTGAACTATGAATCTGTGTTGTGATTATTGGACCGTGTCTTGCATGTAATTGAGCAAGGATGCATAATAATTGAGTTTGACAAAATTTTCCAGTTTTGAAAACACCGTTTGAAAAATAAACACCTTGGTATAGTGTTTTTTTAAAAAAACACAACAAAAAGAAAGACTTTGGTTACCAAACGCTCTCTAAATTATGGAGGGAAAATTGCTTCTGGCCCCAAAAATCAATACAAGTGTCCCCCCCCTCAACGGCCCCAAACCCCTCCAAAACTATCCCGAAATTCCTTTAGCCCACAAAACCTTTCCCCCACGAGACCCGACGTGTAAAAATAAAAAACTTTCTCCAAAATGCCCTCATGCAGCCGGTCACTTTATCAAGCTGGTTACCGGAGAGTGAACAATACTACTGTAAGCATTAAATGATGATTAGAATGTGGTTTTCGATGAAAAACCCACATTTCCCTCCAAATTCTAACAATTTCCTCTCCTCCCCCGTAGTAAATTCATCTCCTCGCCCTTTGCTTACCCCAACTACTCTCTCCCGGCCACTTAATTCTCCTCAATAAATCATCTTTAATTCTTCAACTACTTTTCTTTAAAATAACGGATGGATCCATTCTTTGCATGGTTACAAACACGAAAAGCAACAAAGAGAGTGAGGGTGTCTTCGTACTTATCAACGAGTCTACAGAAATCATTAGTTTGAAATATCAAGTATCCCAAAGGCTTAAACTACCATTGCAATCTCTTTCATTGAAATACATATCCGAAAGGGAAAAGAAGTTTAGTTTTTCAAATGATAATGACAATGACTTGAGGTTGATGTTCGAGTATTATCGTCGTAATGGATTTACAGACATAAACGTGTATGCTACCTCCACCGGGGAATCCTCAACTTCTAAGAACACCAAACTTCTCCAGAAAATGTGTAAGCATTTCACTTTTAATTTTTGTATGAATTCGTTGATAGATTATGAGTTGGTTGTTAACCTTATACATTAGTTGTGGAGGTTATGAGTGTTAGGTCTCATGTTATGAGCCTACATCTTCTAATCTTGTTTTGATGATTACAAACAATTCCTAATATTATTTGTCTAGTGTTTATATTTCCTTATTAGGTATTCTAGACAAATAATGTATTGGAGGATGGATGGACTAGAGCTTTCACGATCATATCCATTGGAGGATGGAAGGATATAGTGGAATGAAGCCCATGCATAATAGTCAAAGATCCAAGTTCAAGCTTCTTCCATGTTTACCAAGACAAGCTACAAATGAAGGTCTATCAAGCTTGGGTAAATTAAGTTTAGGGTTTATATAATGTGTGTTAATTCTATAAGCTCAAATATACACACACATTACATTTGTGAACTTTCATGAAAATAGGTGTTTTTATGAAAAATACATTCAAATATGTTTTGGACTATACAAACCATGCTAACATCTTTTATTATGTCCATAAAATGATTACACAAGTTTTCAGAACTTGATTTGAACTAAAATGGTAAAAACAACATATTTGAAAAACATGTATTTTAGCACTTTTGAATATTTCCGAGTTTTCACAAATGATAAGAGCAAATTGAAAAATTCCTTCTCCAACATGTTCATATTCATGCTTATAAACTTTTTCCAAAGTTTTATATTTTTTGAAATTTATTTACTATTTTTAAATGCACTTGAAAAGTCAGATTTTGGACATGCACAATGTCTGTGCATGTTCATAAATCGACTTATCAGGGTTGATAAGTTGACTTATGAAATGCTCTAGAAAGTGCATTTTTTCTCTGTGAAGTCAACTTGTTTTAATGGTAAGTCGACTTGTACTAAGTCGACTATAAGTCGACTTATAAACTGTCATTCTGCATGTGTTTTTCCTTCTGTCAAGTCGACTTGTGTCACCTGTTAAGTCGACTTATATATAGTCGTTTGTACAGTAACGGCTAGTTTCCAGATTTGATTATTTTAATGTTTTTATGGGATTTTGTTGGTTTCTTGGGCTGGTTTCTTCAAGCCTATAAATACCCCTTTGCATTAACTATTTCTAACAACTAGAGAGAGTTTTAAACAAGTTTTAAAAGAGATCAAAAGTTTGTTTAGTTTGTTTTAAGTTTGGGGTTTTGTTTACAAAGGAGGAAGCTTACATTGTCAATTGAGGGATTCATCCTCAATCTTCTTCATCCTCTCCTTTTGTGTTTATAGAGAAGTTTTTTTAACTCTATTCTCTAGCAATTCATTTTTAATTTTTATATATAATCATTGCTAGTTTGTTAATTGAGTTAGATTTTGTTTAGACTCATTTTATCACACACACCCTATTTGAGCTTGTAGCATTTCATACATCATATATTGGATTGTGGGATTGTGATTTGTGAGATTGAGCTTACTTTGAGTTCTCACCTATTGTAGAGAATATTTTATTGTAATTGAGCGTAATTGTGAGTTAC